AGCTACTTGGGAGGTTGACATCAGGAGGATCATGGTTCGAGGCCAACCTGGGAAAGTAGTTCTGCGATCCCATCTCCAAAATAACCAAAGCAAAATGGACTGAAGGTGTACCTCAAGTGGAGAGTGACTGCTTTGCTAAGCACACAAGCCCTGAGTTCAAACCCCTATCCTACCAAAAAAACCCAGAAAGGCTGGAGGCATGACTCAAGTTAAGAGCCTGTCTAGCACACTGGAGGTCCTGAGATCAAACCCCAGTTCTGCACACACACACACACACACACACACACACACACTCCCCCCAAAAAAATCCTGACTTTGGAGTTTGTGATTTTTTTTGGTCATAAGATATAGTTGAGATTTTATATACTTTATTTTAGCTTGGAAAAAATATGAGTTTATTTCCATTAATCCGTATTCAATTTACTCCTCACAGGTTATGTTGAGCACATTTTTCTTTTCTTCATTTCCCTCAAAGGAAGCAGACATTTGAGAACACCACACAGGTTAAAGAACCCACCCAGACGAGTGCTGTTGTTGGCGAGGACCAACTTGAATTTGACTGCTCTTGGAAACGAGGACCCTTCACGCAATTATGATTTTTGTATGGATCAGTTTTCTGGGGACATTTCTTCTGAGACAGTCTTACATTAATTCCAGTTTTATTCTGTTGGTGTGTTTCCCCTATGTGTAGCTCCCAACGTGCTTATCTATCATTCAATTAACGTTCCTAACACTCCCGTGAACTCTTGCTTAAGAAACATAAATTATTTTACAGGTGGACAAAGTGCAGCTTAAAGTGATGGAGTTCAGGCATCAGGACCTATCTGGGGACATAATACACAACAGCCCGTGCTCCAAGGGCTGTCCTTAAAATAGAGAACTTCAACTGTGCTGGCATGTCCCCATAAAACCCCGTGTCCGCCCCCAGCTAATTCTTGATCATACTTACATAGAAAGTTTGGAACTTAGTTATGCCCCTCTCTTCACTGCTAATATCCTCATTAGTGAGTATGTCTGTGTGTGTGTGACTGTGTGATTGTGTGTGGCTGTATGTGGCTGTGTGTGTATGTGTGTGTGTGTGTGTGTGTGTGTGTGTGTGTTTCACTCTTACCAGATTCTTGTTCAAACTATTGTCTTAATATTTTCTTCCTGGCATTCTTTTTTGGCTGTGCATTTAGTATTTAACAGTTTATGCTGCATATTTAAGATTCCACTCAGAAAATTTCTTGCAGTTATGTTAGGTTAATAAAGTTTCTGTAATGCCCCGTTGATTCTGCTCAAATCTCTTCACAAATGTAATTATTTAAATTTTAATTGCTTCTGGATTTGAGTCTCCTCTAAAAATGATCAAGCCCTCTGCCCAGGCCTTAGTTCCTTTCTGTTGGGCTCTGGAGTACAACAGTGGCTTCCTGCCATGTTTCCGGCCTCCCCATCCTAAACAATGACCCCAGAACTATGTTTCTGTAAGCTCATTCTGACTGTATTAGTCAGCCTTGCACAATTATAACAAAAACACCTCACACCTATCCAGTAAAGAGAGGCTTGTTTTGGCTCCTGGTTCAAAATGAGGCAGCCCCCTGCGGGGGGGGGGGGCAAACACTCTGGATGGGGGAGGTGGGAACTCTTAAAGGTCCAAAACCCCTTCTAAAACTGCCACCTTGGAACCACGCCTTTTCATGTGGACCTTTGGGGGATACTCACCCAAACCACAGCCCTCACATTGTCAGTGTGCTACTTAAAATCTCTCAGTGGTTCACCCTCTTAGAATAAAGTGTGAAATCTTTGCCTGACATACCATGCCTGTCCTGGCATGGCATCTATCTGCTTCACCGACCTCATGTACCTACCCTGGGCTCCAGTCATGCTAAATACTCATGATCTTCTGTGCCTTTGCGTGCCATGTTGTCCACCAGGAACAGCTTTCCTCAGGCTGCGTCTAAAGTAATGGGTTCCTCTTGCTCCTTAGACCGAGTCCCTACAGGGTGCAACCAAGTGTACCATCATTTGCAAACACAGAGACTGGCAGAGTGCTGCATATCCCGGGGATTAATACAGGTGTACCTCATTTTATTATGCTTCACAGATACTGTGTTCATTTTGTTTTGGCGGCACTGGGCTTTGAACTCAGGGTCTCCCTCTCAGCCTTCCAAGTTGCTGGGGTTACAGGTGTGAGCCGCCAGCGCTGGCTAAAACTGTGTTCTTTACAAATTGAAGGCTGTGGCCATCACGTGCCAAGCAAGTCTGCAGGCACCATTTTTCAAACAGCTCAGGTAACTTTTAGCATTTTTTTGTCAAAAATTTTAAATTATAGTACATTGTTTTTCTATATAAAGCTATTGCACACTTCATAGGCTATAGTGTAATGTAACATAACTTTTATATGCTCTGAGAAACAAAAGTCTGTGTGACTTGCTTTAGTATGGGACAGAACTACACCATCTCCAAGGAACGCCTGTAGTTGAACAGCCATGGAATTCACCAGCCACAAAAAGTACCTTTTAATGTCTACTAATGTTTAAGTTTTCTTAACACTTTGGAACGTTTATGCTGTGGGATCCCAAAGTGGGACCTGGCTGGGACAGGAGGACATGTACGCCAGTGGAGGGCGTTGGAAGCTGGATGAAGGATGAAGGATGAAGCAGAGAGGTGCTATCGAGTTTACTACGTGTGAAGGAACACTGGCAGAAACATCCCACAGTTCCACGCAACTTCATTAACTCTCTTCTCAAATTGATCAGGCGATGGGGTAAAGGACTCATGATTGCAGTCTTAATGGTTTTAGTTGTCTGAGTACCGGTAATACTGTATGAAAAATGACTGTGCTTTCTGTTTGTGTATTTCATTTGGCTGCCGGAATATAGAACGGTCTTAACTCTCCTACCCTCCCTTCCCCCAAACCTTGTTTTTCTTTTTTTGCAGTACTAGAATTTGAACTCAGGGCCTACACCTTGAGCCACTTCACCAGCCCTTTTTTGTGATGGGTTTTTTCGAGACTGGGTCTCATAAACTATTTGCCCAGGCTGGCTTTGAACCATGATCCTCCTGATCTCTGCCTCCTGAGTAGCTAGGATTACAGTGTGAGCCACCGGCACCCTGGTGCACTACCGTGCCTAATGGAACTGAATGATTTGAAGCTATGTTTACAAATAGACTTCTTCCCTAATGGTTACACTAGGGGTTACTAGTTACACTAGTAACTAGGTGTTACTAGTCCTGTCCAGGGATATCCACCCACTGCCAGAGAAGCACATTTTGCTTTATTAGAGACTCATGCTCCTGAGGGGCAGTCAACTAACCACAGGGCAACTGGGATTCAGGTTCAGGAAATATATCAGTTCCTAAGAAAAGGCGCAGCAGTGGACACTGTACATTTGTAATTACATGTGACACCGATAATAAACTCACAGATGATTGGTATTGGTGTCGTGTATCATGCTCTCAATATATGCTACAGGCATTACTGTTTGTTTGAAATTTAGGTGTCTAAATATAGTTATTAAATCAATACATTTATATATAATAAATCATAATATAAGTAACAAGCTATTTAACTGTTCTAAATTTATGTTCTCCTTTTCCATACATCTCCTTACAAAAGTCTCAAAAACCCTGCACAACCTTCTGGACACATCCACCCATTGTTACTGAGGGGGACAAGCAGTTGTTAGTGGTTTCCTATCCCTGCTTTATCTTCTGTTGGGTGACGAGCATGGGAAGTGTTTAATGGGTTAGCAGGAATAAGTAATACCTATGGGACCAAGAAACTATTGGAATTCTAGCACGTATTCTGATATTCAACATTATGGTAGATCCTAAATAGCAACTTCTTAGTACCAACAGTAAATGGAGAGCTCCAAACTCTTGTATTTTAATTTTTAGCATTTTATTTACAAAATAAACATCCTTTTAAAAGTTAGAATTCCTTTTCATAAACATGTAATGAAAAGTATATTACATAAATATCTCTTAGGATTACTTTTTTTAAAAGATGTGGATCTAGTTATGTTCCAGGCTTGAATTTGTGGGTTCAAGTGATCTTCCCACCTCAGCCTCCTGAGTAGCTGGGACTATAGGAGTGTACCATTCTTCCCAGTTTATATAAATCCCTTTCAAAAGATAGGTCTTCAAAAGGTACTATAATTCCAAAATGTGGGTTAGTTTATTTTAAAAGATAAGTTAAATGTAATACTAAATATAAATACTGGAACTAGTTAAGTGTTCAAGATTTAATGTTTCATTGCATCCTGCTTAAAATGTTTTGCTTTTCCTGACTCAAAAGAAATACAGTCATTATAAACCAGGTACGGTGGTGCACACGTATAATGGCAGCATTTGGCAGGTGAAGGCAGGAAGATTGTGAGTTTGAGGCCAGCCAAGGCTACACAGAGACACTCTGCTTCAATAAATTAATACTATCATTATAGCTCAAGTAGTAGAGTGCTGTCTAGCAAGTGTGAGGCCCTGAGTTCAAACCCCTGCACTACCAAAAAAGGAAGGAAGGAAGAGAGGGAAGGAGGAAGGAAGGAAGGAATATTCTTTTATGCATTTGGAGGCTATGTTTCTAGTTTTGTTTTTCTCTTTTTCCTGAGAAACTTCAGTTTTTAAAACTTAAGTTCTATTCTCATCTCTTCAGATAGAGTCGTGACTAAATATAACCTGCCTTTCCTTTCACCCTCCTCTCATGAGGAGGCTTTTTGGGGGTCATATTTTGGACATGACATATAGATTTAATGAATAAAGACTGACACATTTGTGTTTTTAACAGAATAAAAGGGGAAACAAAAAATTTCAGATAAAGTATTTTAATTTTGTTATCACACAAAGCAGAACAAAGTTGTGTGTATGTGTATGTATACGTACGTACAGATACAACTACTTACAAGTATGTAATTACGTACAAAGTTTGAAAGGGAATATGCAAGTCATTGGAGCTATGTCTCTTTTTCATTACTTTGTAATGCATTCAACAAAACCTTATCTCAGATGGGATTACTTTGGTGCTAGAGAATCTTGTACAAATGAATTTGTTGAGAGCTTCTCTGTCGATGTCCTTTTGTGGGTAGACATCGTAGTTCAGAGGTACCTCTTCAACCCAGAGGGATAACTGTATATCAGTCTAGGGGAAAAAAAAAAAAAAGAGAATAAACAGACATGAAGATTGCAGAATAAGCCACACTGGAATTTCATGAAATCATCTTAAGTAATTCACACAACAGATTTTTATTACAAAGAACAGGACCAAGTCTCTAAGATACCACATGAATAATTTCGTGCTATACTAAATGGTAGATCTGTGGATTTGGAGATCTGATTTTGGAACTTGAAAGAATAAAGAAAATATAGAATAATTATTTTAATGTAACTAGTGTAATATTATCATTAGACTTAAACAATAAAAGACTAAGACAATGGGCGTACACAGAAAATACAAAAAACTGTTCATATATCCACAGTAATGGTGGGGTACAATCTCCCTCCATAACTTTCATGAGACCTTTCCCCTTACACTGGGAACACGAGCCTCTACACCACACAAACTCCGAAGGTACTACTGCACACATCTGTTTAAAGTAGTTTTTCTTAGGCTGGGCATGGTGATTCACACCTGTAATCCTAGCTACTCAGGAGATAGAGATCAGGAGGATTGCAGTTTAAGGCCAGCTGGAGCAAAAAGTTATTGAGACCCCATCCTAATTAATAATCTGGGTATGGTGGAACATGCCTATCAGTGCAGGTTCTCAAAAAGTAGTAGGAGACTGGCAGAATAGTTCAAGCAGTAGAGCACCTGCCTAGCAAGCGTGAGGCCCTGAGTTCAAACCCCAGTGCTGTCAAAAACAAAAACAGAGAGGCAGTAGGTAGGAGGATCACAGTCTGATGCTAACCCCCGACAAAAACTCTAGACCCTACCTGAAAAATAACTAAAGCAAAAAAGGTATGGGGCATGGCTCAAGTGGTTAAGTACCTGCCTAGCAAGTGCAAGGCCTGTGTTCAAATCATAAAAAAAGATTTTTTTTTTCCTTTTCTTTTTTGTTGGGACTGGGGTTTGGACTTAGGGCTTTAAGCTTGCAAAGTGAGTGCTCTACTGCTTGAGCCACACCTCCCGTCCATTTTGTTCCGGTTATTTTTGGAATGGGAACTCATGAAACTATTCCCCCAAGCTGATCTTGAACCTCAGTCCTCCTGATCTCATCCTCCCAAGTAGCTAGGATTATATGTGTAAATCACTGGTGCCTGGCATAGGTAGTTTCTTACATAGGAGAGGAATAACGTTATCAAGCATTTATGTATAAGGACTTAAATATCAGTTTCTAAAGGCTGTTCGGTCATAGTTATGCATTTAGTGTGAAGGCTATTATTCTGATAATTTAAAGAATACTAAATGATTTCAATATGTAATTATAATATAAATTAGAGACTGTATATTTTAAAAGGCATGTTTTTCTGATTATGGTAGGATCACACCACTGATGAGGTTGGACTCTTGCAGGGAAGAGATGAAGGGGGTGCCTGGGAAGAGTATATACTTTTCTTTATACATACTTGGATTACCTTCTTGTTACAACAAGCATGAATTACTTTTGTAATTTTAATGATTGCTAAAATTTTTTAGAAGGCATTTTTAATGATTGTTTGGTTTTTAAAAGGAAGAAACTTACTTAAATTTGGCAGTGCTATATACAAGGAAAATTCTCCTAAAGGAAATGATAATACGTATTCTCCTTCTTACTCTAGACACAACTCTATTGAAAGTGTATTCCTTTCATAATAAACTTTGCCATCGCTTTCACTACAAAAAAAAAAAAAAGAAAGAAAGAAAATAATAATGAAATTCAATATTAAGAGTCAGGTGCCAGTGGTTCATGCCTGTAATCCTTGCTATTTGGGAGGTTGAGATCAGGAGGATTGTGGTTTGAGGTCAGCCCAGCAAACAGTTCAAGACTCCCATTTCCAAAATAACCAGAGCAAAACAGACTGGAGACATGGCTCAAATGGTAGAATGCCTGCTCTGCAAGTGTGAGGTCCTGAGTTCAAACCCCAGTTCCACTCTCTCCCTTCCACCAAAAATTCAATATTAAGAAATAAGACAGTATCTTTCACCTGAGGATCTCAAAGAGCCACACAAATACTAATTAACCTTCACATGAGGTCAAATTGTTGGGTTACATTTGCTATTAAATTCACGCTTGTTTTTTCATTTTTAGAGCATTTGAGATTGAACCCAGGGCTTCATGTATGCAAAGCAAGCACTCTACTACTGAGTCACACCCTCAGCCCCTAAATCCAGCCTTCTTTTATATGGGCATATGGGGAACAAAGAAATGGTTTTTGCAAGATTCCAAACTAGCCAGATGTGGTGGTACACACCTGAAATCTCAGCACTCAAGAGTAACCTCATTTAGGCCAGCCTGGGCTACATAGCAAGACCCTGTCTCGAGAAGAAGAAGATTCCAAACTGACTCAGGAGGCCAAGCTGCACACAGTATGATGTTCTGCTGTCTACTCATTTGACTCTAGGAGCCTTGAGCCACTTTGTCCCCACCACCTTCTTCTGTGAAACAGGCTCTCCCTCTAGGCTGGTCTCCAACTCTTGATTCTCCCACTTCAGCCTCCCAAGTGCTGGGACTACAGGTGTGCAACCCTGTCTGCTAACTCTGTTCCTTTTGTTCTAAGGTACAAAGTTATGATGTGGGTATTCTTTTTTTTTTCTAATTCATTTTAAATTTTTTAACATTTTTGTTTATTTTATTTTTTGAGAAGGCAGTCTCACTCTGTTGCCTAGGCTGGTCTTGAACTCCTGGGCTCAAGAAAGATCTTGGTTCTGCCTACCATGAGGCTAAAACTACAGGCATGGGCTACTGCTCCTGGCTATGGTGTAGGTGAAAGACTTTTACATTCACCAGTGTTTGTTAACCTAACACTAGGACAACAGAGTTAGAAAAACTGGGTAGAGAAGCCAGAGAATCTATGTCCAAGGGTGAATTTCAAGGCTCTTGAGACCTGGAAATAAACCACAAACAAGTCCCTCAGCAATAAGGTGTTACAGTTCCATCATCTGTCATTATTTTTAGATGGAATATTACTAGAATACTGTAATAGCTGTCAGAGAAAAACAGAAAAGTTTTCACGTAACAAGATGCTGGCGGACTGGAGGTGTGGCTCAAGTGGTTGAGCCTGCCTTGTAAGCACAAAGCCTTGAGTTCAAACCCCAGGCCCATCGGGTTAAAAAAAAAATGTTGGAAAAGTGGGTTATAAGAGGAGGTTAATTTGGTAAAAGAACATTATATCCATGTATGGAAACATCACCAAGAAACCCCTTTAAACAATTAATATACAGAAAAAAAATTTTTAAAGAGTGGCTTACATACCTGAAGACCTGACAGAGAGTCTTGAAGACTTGGTACTGTCACCAATAGTGATCCTTTCTTCCTTATGTTATGGCTGATGTATTTCCAGGCTCTACAAGACATTAAAAAGATGATATGCTAAAACAACAATGAGGTATCACTGCCTCCCTATGAGAATGGACACAAAATTCAGAACACGGATAACACCAAGTGCTGGTAAGGAGGTGGAGAGACTGAAACTCTCATTCATTGCCAGTGAGAATACAAAAAGATACTCTGCACACTGGAAGACAGTTCAGCAGATTTTCTTCAATGCTGGGCATTGAACCCGGGGCCATGAGCATAATAAGGAAGCAGTTGACCACTGAGCTACATTTCTAATTTGACAGTTTCTTATAAAACTACACACACTCTAACCATGAAGTCCAGCTATTGTGCTCCTTTCTACATACCCAAAGGAGTTGAAAACTTGTATCTAAGGAGTGGAGGCATGGCTCAAGCAGTAGAGCGCTTGCCATGAAGCCCTGAGTTCAAACTCTATAGTGCCACCACATAAAACACAAAACAAATAAAAAGCCCTTATAGCTACACAAAAATCTTCATGTGAATGTTTTACAACAGTTTTATTCATAACTGCCAAAACAAGGAAGCAAGCAAGATGTCCTTCAGTATGTGAAAACTGTGGTAAATCCAGACAATGGTATATTGTTCAGCACTAAAAAGAAATGACTGTTGAACCATGAAGCCATGGAGGAACCTAATTGCATGTTACTAAATGGAAGAAACCGATCTGAAAGGGCCACACGCTGTATGATTCTATTTATGGAAATGGAAAAACTATGGAGATGATGAAAAGGTCATGGTAGTCATGTGAGGGGAGAGGAAGGGTGAACAGGTGAGCACAGGGGATTTTTATGATAGTGAAAATACTATGGATGCTATTTTAATGGTGGATATATATATATAAAATTATACATTTGCCCAAATGTACAGACTGGACAATACCAAGCGTGAACCCTACCACACACTATGGACTTTGGTGTGCCATACTCATCAACTGTAACAGACATCCGACTTTAGTGAGATGTTCGTAATGGCTGTGGTTATGTCGGGGAGAGTATGCAGGAAATCTCTGTGCCTTTCTTTCAATTTTGCTGCGAACCTAAAACTAGGTATTAAAAAAAAAAAGAAAAGAAAAACTGAATCCAAAGCATGTCCATATCAATTCTTCTATAACTAAGTTAAAAAGAGAGCAAAGAAAAACTGATGCTAGCTTTTACTAAACACTGGGAATGTTTTTTAAAAAAGAAGATGACAAAAGAAAATGCAGGACATGTGATATCTAGAAATCCAGATGGGCAGAAATGTTTGTCCACAGGAACCAGAACTGCAGCAACATACTGAAAACTGGTAAACCGTCCAGTTCCTGAAGGGGTGCGGGCCAAATTGTGAGGTGAATGTATTGAGAAGATTAACAAGATGGGGGTTTACATTACTACAAGTATTAGGGATAAGGCCTAGTAAAACTCAGTTTCCAGAACTCATACACAAGCCAAAGCTGGGCCTGCAGTTAAAACCCCTTTGCTTCTTTAGGAAGTATGGCAGAACTGGCTCTACAGACTAGAGCATGGACAGATTGCTGGAGGTTTAAGGTGAGGAAGAGTCCTGGAAAAACAAAAGACAGAGGCCAGAAACCAAAGACCAACAGTAGAGTGTAACATGTAAACTACATCTCAGCAAGATTGAAATCGTACATAATCTGGCTGTCAGTAACATTCCATGGAAGGATCTCCAGTATAACTTAGTGCTTGAGAACTTTAGTGGCATTAGCCAGCTTTAAGGCAAGAGCGAATGCTGTGTGCACGAGTATGTCGGAGGGCAGGGTTTGACCAGTTCTGTCTACACTCGGTGTCGATATGAAGTGGATTTCTATATTGTGTGTGAACCTTGATTATACACCACTCTGCTGGAGAGCGATGACAAAATGATCAGGAGGCACCCCTGCAGTGTGGCAGGTGGGTACTTCTATCATTTGCACTTACTTTAGGTTTAGTAAATTCTGGAATTTATTAGCAATATAATACAGTGTTCTTTTTCTCTGAGCAGCAGTATTTATAATATATGTTATTATGTTTAGGCTAGAAGTGTTTTGATGTGGTTCCTAAAAATGACATATTTTACAAGTCTATTTAATAGCACAAAGAAGAAGCTGAGTATACTAGCATGGTCTTTTTCTGTCATTGTAGTAGTCGTATCTGTTTTACCTACTGAAAACACATACAGAGTAACCTCTTAAATTAAAAATTGCTGTACAAGTCTGAGGTGTTACCTGTAATGAGATCTAAGTTATTCTGAAGTTTGAGCCTTTCATGGGTTTTCTCTTACATATTAACTCCTACAGTAATGTCATTCCACTTGTCCTCAGATTTGATTAATATTACAAGTTACATATAAGGTACATGGAGTGCCACATAGTCACTTTCATTTACTACAAAACAGAATTAGTTATATGCAAATGATCAGTTTTGTCAGAGTGATTCCAGTATCAGAATGCTTTATGATATGCTCTCAACTTACTTCTGTACACCGTTATTTGCAAAAAAGATAATGAACTGCAAGAGGTAATAACTATTTATACTTAGAATTCACTGCCCAGGCTAACTTGGAAGAAGTGATTAAAGGAGAATGATGGAGGGGTGAATTCAAGTACAGCGTAGTTGATATACTGTAAGACCTTTTGTAAATGTCACAATGTACCCCCAGCACAATTTAAAAAAAAGTGATTAAATTCTATCATGTTGCCAATACTTGCTCCGTGAATCATGCAGCATTTATGAATGAAGGCACCAAGAAAGTTTTATAGCAGCCCAGCTACTTCACCAATACCTTCATCATTCTTCAGCATTCAAAATCTTTCTACAATGAACTCCAAAGAGTTTAAGGTATTTTTCTTTCAACTTGTTATAAAATATAAACCTGGTAGTATTTCATCCCTCAACAATTATGCAGTATTTTGGATACCCATCATTAACTTTAAAAGGCAAAAAGCAAGCCAGGCACAGTGGTTCAAGCCTGTAATCCTAGTTACTTGGGAGGTGGAGATCAAGAGGATGGCAGTTCAAGGCCAGCCAGGACAAAAAGTTTGAGAGACCCCCCCATCTCAACCAATGACAGGTGTGCACCTGTCATCCCAGCTATATGGGGGAGCCCAAAATGGGGGGTCATGGTTCAGGCCAGTCTAGGCATAAAGTAAGACCTATCTCAAAAATAACCAACACAAAAAGGGCTGGTAGAGTGGCTCAAGTGGTAGAGTACCTGCCTAGCAAGCATGAGGTCCTAAGTTCAACCCCCAGTGCCAAAAATCAACAAAAATTAGATGTAGCATTTTACAAAATTAGACAAACCTTTAAAACATTTTTTGCCTTATATATAGAACACATTTCTTTAGTAAAATAATCTCACATGAAGTTTTTTTTTTAAGCTTAATATGAAACTATTTTTGCCATACAATCTTTTTTCATACCTTGCATAAGTAACATACCTGACCTGTTGGGCCTCATTAAGAAAATATTCGAAGACATTATTCATAATGACGACATCAGCAGTTTGCAGAAGTGAACCCTGGGTACAGATGTCTGCATGAAGCACCTACAGAAGAATGAGTTCACGTAAGAGAATAGGATGCTGACTCAAAACCTCATATGAAGTATTTACTGGTTCACCCGTGTGAAGCTTTGTGAGAGTCAGCACTTCTGAAAGGGGGAGGAAGGGCAGTACAGAGAACCCCCACAGGAGGTGCTTACATCTAGTCAAATCATATACCTGTGAAGATTTGCTTATTTGTTTTGTGTGGAATTATTTATTTAGTCATAATTATGTTGGGTTTTTTTTTCCCTGTTTTTTTCCCAAATATGTTCTTTTAACTCCTGGTTCAGTTTTTTTTTTCTACTATACTATGTGTCACAAGTTGTAAGAGTCACAGACCTAGGTTCCAGTTAGGGTTCTATCGTCAGTTAGGTTTGTACTCTTAGGTAGTCAGCTTTTGCATAAATAAAATATCTGTACTGATTTGCATAATCAAATGGAACCATATGAAAATTAGAAAAGATAAACACACAAAATCCCCCAAAATTTATAAAAGTCAGTTACCAACTGTAAAATACACTATGTTAACTGGCCTTGTCTGACTCTTCATTTAAAATTCTCATAAATGTACTATCTACCCAAAAAAAGTATGCAAAACTATATAAAAACTATATTCCTCAAAAAATTGACTTAGACTGCAATTAAGACTTGCAGGTTGCAGGCAAGATAACAAGGGGAGTGTATTTGCTCAGGAGCAAAATGACTTTTAAAAAGTACAGAAAAATGTTTAGTTTGTCACGTGACTTCTTTTCAAATAAACACTTAGTTTTATAAATATGTAATATTCAGAATGTTGTAGGGGTTTGATTTTTTAAAATATTCTTTCTTTTTTTAGTAATAAAAATACAAAAATAATTTAAATCAAGTTGGCCCAGAGCCTCTAAACACAGTTTTGATATATTCCTCCACATGAAGAAAAGTCAGTTAATCATTTCAAACTTTCTAAACATGCAGGTTAGACATGAAATAGCTATGTAAACTAACCTCCTCATTTATCTTACTGCTCAGTGCTCCTCTTCTTCCCCTCTCTGTTCATTCTTTTCTTCTCCCACCCTACCACTACCCAGACGGGGTAAAAAAAAAAAAAAATCAGATAGATCAACTAATTGTAGCAGGAAACAGAGGTGCTCTTGAGGTACCAGGAAAACCCTAAGGAATGGTTATGAGTAAACTCTGGAATGGTGACAATGCAGAGGACATAAGACAAGCAAATTCAATTGAACCAGCACTTAATGGGCATCTTCAATGTGCAATGTGCTACACGGGGAGATGGATATGTCAGCATGAACAAGACACAACACATGCTCTCAATCAAATATGCTCCAATCTAGTAATGGGAAGAAACAGCCATGCTAAGAACTTCATAAAAGTGCCATCAAAAGAATAAGCCTGGACCAGAAGGAAGAATGAGGGTAAGTATAGCTCTATCCTGAGAACAGAGAAAAGAGACTTAAAGCTATGGGCCTTGCAGGTGAAGATAGTAGATAAAACACAGATATATACATTTACACATTACTGAAACCCTATTATAATGACAATAGAGGTTTTTTTTTTTTAAGAAAATATAAACCTAGAAGGAGGAGAGGGGGATAGAAAAGGAGACAACAGATATAAAAATTTGTAAGTTAGAAAAAAAAAGGAGAAAGTAAAAAGAAACTTAGGAGACCTGAGAAAATTTCTAAGCTAGAAATTTTAGCTTTAGAAAGCAAGCTAGGGCTCCACATGATTGATGTTACAGAAACTCTACAAGGTTCGTAATTGGTGATGGCAGGTGAAGGAATAGGGAGAATTATAAAAATAAGGAAATTTGGTTGAAAGTTTAGGATCCCTAACACTAGATCCCTAGACACTTTTCTCCTACCCTAGCAAACGAACAGAGGTTTGTTCTTTGGAGAAAGTTAAACAGAAGGAATTTGGAGCAGGGCAGAGAGGCCTCATTGAAGGAAGGGGCAAGGCACTGAAAACAAAATTAGAGAAACATCACAGTGGCTGAGAACCCCTAATACTCTGACTCTTTTCCTCCACCACTCAGTTTGCAGGATGATGTTTGCCATTCAGCTGAGATAGGAAAAAGGTCTTCTCTGGGTGATCGCCGAAAACCAACCCAAAAGGAAAGATCTTAAAATATTCAAGTAATCCCCAACACAATCATGCAATAGTGAAGCCCACAGTTAACAATTCCACGCATGTGCTCATTACTTCCATCTGCTTTTTTTCTTTCTCACTTTTTTTGGCGGTGCCAGAGATTGAACCCAGGGCCTTGGGCGTGTAAGGCAAGCACTCTACTATGAGCCACATTCCCTGACCTTGTTTCTCACTTTAAGCAGGAGCAGACAACCAATGATATCTAGACTGCTGAGGAATGCCTTGTTAAAACAGATCAAACAACGATGACAACAACATCAACAAAAAGAAACAAACTGAGAGCCCAGAAGGCCAGTTAAATTTCAATAGGTACTAGCAAAAACACTCATAGAATCTCTTTTGGTTGATTTTAGGGCCCCTCAAATCCAACATTTGTAACTTCAAGGAAGAAAACTGTTAAGGTTTCCAATAGTCATAGATAGTACTAAAAAGTTTTTTAGGTGTTGGTGAACTCAGAGGTAGAGGGCTTGCCTAGTGTGTGCAAGGCTCCAGGTTCAATCCCTAGCACAATGATAATAACAATAACAATAATAAATAAATTCGTGGGTTTTTTCTTACTCTCCCATATGAAGTGAAGAATAACATATTGTTCTTACATAATAGCAATCATATAATGGGAATATATATTTAATTGAAAACTGAAATTTAAAAATTAGGACCTCTTAAGAATCATAGTTTATAAATGGATAGTCTAATACTTTCTTCTTTTTTTTCAAAGATGACATTAAAAATATATAAAATGCATGTTTATTTACATTTTAAAAGATTTTTAACCCTTACTTTTCAAAAGAAAATATGAGATGCACATCCACCCATATGCTTTTCCTGGCTTAGGGCTTCTGTACTCACCAGCAACCCTCTGGTAAAAAGTTTCTGCAGTGTTGGGGATTGCACCCAGAGTCTTATGCATGCTAAGCAAGCACTGTACCACTGAGCTCAGTCCCCTGCCCCCATGAGTTTATCACTGGACAATGAATTCACTCTGATCTTTACCTCTTTTTGTTTCTAAGATGAGGGTGGAGAGGAGGGACAAGAAGCAGGGAATAGAGTATTTTCCTTCTACATAAAAGGGGAAGGCTAGATTCCTGATTTTACTGATATGCCTTTCAACATTAGATTGCCCTTATCAGCAGAGATACTCAATACTCTGTGTCGATCATTAGTGAAATGATAAGGATTACTGTATTATACGAAAATTCCTTTTTCATTATTTTTCCTTTTTATAGGGAAAAGAGAAAAACAGTCATAACCTAACCCAAGACTAACCCCATGAACTGTTACTCTCTGCCATCCATGAGATCTCCTGAAAGCTTAAAACGAAGTAACTGTATTGCCCAGCCCTTTTACTTACTTTCAACATTTACAGTTTGCTAACCAACCTCAAAAGTTTCAAAAATGCTGCTACCAAAACTACAGCTTATATGGAAAAAACTAAGAAAAAAATTCTAATTTTTAATAAAATTAGGGAGGGAGAGAACTATGATATAGTGAGGTATAATTATAACAATTCATTTCTATTAATGTTTTGAAATATTAAGTCAACACAATCGTTTCTACATAACAGGAACCAAGAATAAGTTAGAAAAAAATGCAGAAGAACTTAAAATATATATTAAAGATACCTTTATCCTGTCACCAAACTGGTATTTTTTTATGACCATTTCCTGCAATTGGCAAAAGTCTCCATTTAATTCTACTCCGTAGAGCTGTGCTGCTGAACTGTAAAGGTAACCCTAAAATAGGAAAATATGTTATGATGCAAGTAAATCAACTGGTTTTTTTTTTTTTTTTTTTTGGCTGTGCTGGGGATCAAACCCAGCACACAGAGCTTTGCATATGCTAAGCAAGTGCTCTACCACTGAGCTACATTCCAAGCCTGTGAATTAACTGTTAATTGTGGGTTTATTTCTACTTGAAATTTAAAGAGTCAATGTTTGAAAAACACCCAATAAAGTGAAAGTAAAATGAAAGATAAACAATGTCTCTTTGTATAAAATTTACAACCCCAAGGACTTTACTTGCAAAGATCAAGGCCTTGATTTTAGTTTATTAATTCCCATCATGTATTTATATTTTTAAAGACTGACTTCTGAATCTTCCTGATAAAACTGGGCATTCAACAAAGTTAGAAATGAGAAGAGTGGTCTAATACCCAACTTCTGTAATTTCTTGAGATGTAACATCAGGGGAAATCAAGAATCGAGTCAATCTGTGGGGGAGATGGTGAAAATCATGCACCATCTGACACTAGGGGAAGGTGGCCTGAGGTTTATACTCTTAACTCAGGGAAGTCAGCCTGGTGCCAACCAATTACTTAATAAGGATTATCAAGAATTGACTATATATTGCTATGTATTTATCTTGGTTTCATTAGCAACAAAGAAATTCAAAAGAAAAGCTCAAGTATTTAATCATTTGCTGAAGATTCACTTTAATCAGCACATATAAAACTAAATTTTTATTTGTTCCATCATGGATTTTCAGAATATGTTTAACAACTACATTCAGATATTTAGAAGATTTTTATTGACCTAATATGGAGAGAAATATCAACATATTTAAATGTATTAACAGTGATACCATATCCTCATAGCACAATTATTTAGCATTATACATTTTTGCATGAAGCATTAAAGAGTTAACTGTTCCCGTCTGAGGCAGGCAATGATGCTGGGAACTGATAGTGCCTGTTTCTGGCATGAACCTCCACTGCTGTTGGCCACATGTTGTAACAAGTCTGCTAATGACAACCAGAAACCACATTTCGGTTTTTTGATAAAACTATTCATGATTTGAATTTTTAAAAAAATTTCATTGTTGGGCTGGGTGGGGTTATGATTTGAATTTAAAAAAAAAATTTTTATTGTTGTGCTGGGTGGGGGTATGATTTGAATTTTTTAAAAAGCCACATTGAAGTAATGTTTCAGAAATAAACATCTATGTTCAAACTTTGGATCACAAAAAATTGGAACAAGATGTATGCTTGGACATATTTTAATTTGCTCATGAAAAGATGAGGAGCTAAGGGCACTGAGGTGTTAAATGACTTGCTTGCAGCCAGAAGAGGGTGCCTTAGTCAATTTGTCAGTTTTATAAAGAGCCTTTATCAAAGGTCAACATACTATTTCATTTTAGTATAGTACAAAGAAAAAGAAGAGGTTAGAAGGTGGTAGTGACTGACAAAATAGCATTGCTATGAGTCACATGCTTCTGTTTTATTTACATTTGTTATTTGTGTTGTGGAGACAAACTGGGAAAGGAAATCTGACAGCTGGTCTTTGAAATTCCAAACTCGCTTATGACCATCCAATAGAATTTAGGAGCCTGCCTATGTTATACTAATTTATCCTTATCCTGTTACTTTAACAAATTAAGCCAAGCTGTCACCTTGGGTGGTGGCAGGCAAAGTTGCTGCTAAGAGGAGAACAAAGTATTTTCCAAATGTTGAATATGTCTCCAAGCTGGACTTTACCCCGTAGAGGACTGTGCCAAGTCTGGAGCCCACGTCAACCAAGACCTTTCCTGACAGGTCAGGGAGTAGATGATGGTAAATGAACTTCAACTCCATGAGGGAGAAGGAATGAGAAATAAATCCTGGAGAATTAGAACAAAGTGAACATCAACTTGTGCCTGGTCACTAGCAATTACATTCTGTACTTACAGTTCTTTCACCTACATTTGTAAAAACTATTTCATGTTTTTTCTTAATCAATGAAGGCTATCCAGGGTTTATTTAGGAAATACTAATGTGATAAATTTGCATTCATACACTCTGAGCTGTATTAGAGAAGAGGAAATATTAAGTCTGATACTTAAAAGGCCTCTAGGGATAAGCTACTCAGATGACTGTCCCTGTCCTGGGCCCCTCATTTCCTTCTTGTTGCTGCTTGGGATGTCCTGAGTTTTTCCTTTCCTTTTCTCTATGTGATCTGTTGCAGGCCAGAACAGCTTCATAACTTCCACACTGTCTGGCTTTCTCACCTTCCCCCAGAGCTAATCTCCTTTTTTTTTTTTTCTTTGCGCTACTGTGGTTTAAACTCAGGGCCTCATGCTTGGTAGGCAGGCGCTCTACCACTTGAGCCACTCCACCAGTCCACCAGTGCTATTCTCAAAACCACCACGAATTGCTGCATAGTCTGTAAACTATCAAACAAATGACCATCTCTGGGACTGTGAGACGTGGCAGCTCTGACCAACCTAGAATGTGCAGTGCAAGCCAGGATGATACGGAAGAAGATTAAGATAGCACCATAAATTGCCCTTACTTCTCTTAGTTTAGCGTCCTTGTCTTCCTTCTGCAACACAATTTCTACGATAGCCTGAGTCTGGTTTTCTTCTGATATGGAGGCAACCCAAAGACTCACTATATCATGGCCTACTCAGGAAGGGGAAAGATCTTGGTCATAACCAATAAAAGGTGGCACAGAAAAAGGAAGCAGGGAGGCCAGTCCTTGGAACAGAATGGGCTCTGGCTACCATAGTCCTTGTCTCCCTAGGAGTTCTCATCCTCATACGTTCTTGTCATAGTAGTGCTTCTCAAAACTACCATTAATGTCCTTTAGCTAGACAAAGCCCTTCTCATGTGAATACTTGTGAAAGAGTTCCTCATGGTGATAGCTGTTTCAGATTTATTACAGTTATCTGATCTGCTCTGATATCTGGTCATTATATATAATCTGATTTTTATGGAAGGATATAGCCTAACCTTCATATATTTACCAGTCAAATATAGTTGTTTTATAAATTTCTATAAACCAGATCTATTTGATATGGTGTTATAATTATAATTCACTTTTTAGTTTTTCCTCTACTGTTCTTGTCTTGCAAGTCCTTTATATTTGGTGAATTTCAACTACATACTGTAATGAACATTATATGTATTATTCAGAAATAAGTCCTAAACCACTTAATTAGGTAAATTTAATTCCAAATTATAATATAGATATAATCTATTTGTGTAAGTAACAAATTCCAAATTTGGTAGTAGTTAACATTTGAGGATGATGTTATCTGAGATCACTATCACAAATCCACTGTAAGCAACCTAAGAGAGCAGGGCAATGTATGTGTGAAGCAACAGGCTGGACAGTCATAGGCAGTTTGAACAAAGAATATATAAGCAGGAGAGTTAACATATTAGCAACATGGAGTCAGTCTCATTCCTGTTTGGGACATGGGTGCTGCAGGGGGACAGAGATGCAAGAGACTCACTGTCACTAGAGTTGTTCTGTAATGGGTCAGAGATGCTTTACTGGGCCAAATATGGCCCACATAAACTCTGCTGCAGGATTATCTGTCTCTCTCCCCCACTCCCACTGCCCTACAAAGAATATTGCTATCTGACTTCCCAAGAAATTGCTTGTTTCTACAGAGGGACATTTCAGGCACCTTGGAAGTTATATTTGTCACTGTGAGTAAATCAGCATATGGTCTATGTATCAACCTCTGCTGAGTATGTAGAGTCTGAGTCAGCCCCCCTGCATTCAGTCAGTCCTGATAAGTTTCTGGACGTAAAGAGTCACCTCTGATTAATGTTTCTAGATGTGAAAAGCATTGGCTAGATATGCCCTAGGGGACATTAAGTGGCCTATCCTCCCTTGACAATATTTCTACATAGTCTCCCCAACTGCAATACTTAGTAATGGCCATGCTACAGGTTGACATTTTGTTTTTAAAAATGTCCAATGGCTTGGCCAAAAATGTACATACTCGTGACATATGAAGTCATGAGTGACATATAAAGACTTGCACACACTTGGGTGCCTACCTAGAGGTGCTGTCTGATGTGAGCCACACACCATACAGTAGTTTCTGCTCATTTTTCCTTCCTCGCATAATGAATCAATAAAGTCTTCATCATAAAGGAATGCATCAACGTGAACTGTGGGTTCTGGCTGCTGCTGGATCTGGAGGAGAGAGCAAAACATCAAAAGAAACAGAGTACAAAGAAGTCTCTTTTTATTGCTAAATAAGGCAAAACATCAGTGGTTCATATGCTAAAATTCTGAGAGCAACAAGGCAAGAAAGACAAGTTTTGCTTATTCAAGTCTGCAAATGCTCTTTTTTTCATTTTTATTACTGCGACAGTAATAACTTTTTATTTAATCTAGAATGATGAAGACAGGGCTATGAGAAATGTATAAGATTTTAGTCGAAAGGAATATTAGACATTATCTTCTCCATTGTAAGAAGCATATTCTACAAAGAAACTGATACCCAGAGATTTCTCCAAAGAAATTACATGAGAGGAAGGAGAGGAGTGAAGACGAATGCTAGGTTTTCTGAGTCCTTCCATCAAAACACCCAGCAAGTAATCTTTCCCACAAAGCAAGGTTTTCCAATAATTAAAATGCTATTAAAACTTCAAACCTACAAGTAGGAGCCCTTTATTAATACTGGTAGCATATGCTATATTAGCATGTGGCTACAAAGAAAAAATGTCAGATTCCTTCTACCTTAACTACTAAAGAATCCTGAATGGATACTTAAAGACCTTGCATGTATGTTATAATCAAACACGAGAGGGTAGAGCACCTGCTTTGTATGTGCAAAGCCCCGAGTTCAAACCCCAGTTCTACCCAAAAAAAAAAAGTTAAAAAAAATCAGATGTAGATATGCAAAAGGAAACCAAGGAAGACAAAAACAGTTCAATTTTGTTATAATAGGAGATTATGGGTCAATTATTAATATACAGTGAATGCTTTTTCATTTCACTTTATATATTGCTGTGCATCACGATGCTAGTAAGTTTGTTTTATTAATCACACTCAAACTGCATTATATTTTTCTCAATTTTTAAACTACCTATTTTTCTCCTTTGATGATCTATTCTGAATGATTGGGTATTTACTAAGACTTAAGTGTTCACAATGTGCCTAGCATTATTAATGATGTACAAGATTTAGTTCCTCTGCTAGGCGTTTATAGGCTGAAAAACTACATGGAGGTGGCTGTTTTCAGATTAGTGGGTAAAGAGGACTGGGGGTATAAAGTACTCACCTACCATGTGTGAGGCCTGGATTTGATGCTTAGCACAGCAAAAATAAAATTTATAAAATGTGCTCTGATCTTTAAAGAAGAGCCAGTTTGGGAATATTAGCTGGTGTAGTGTTTTCATAGCCATTATGGAGTTTATCTTTCAATCAGTTATTGGACTCAGAATACTTCTCTCACTCCCTCTCAGAAATTCATATTCTGTACACATATATGGAAATGTCACAATGAGATCCCCTATACAACTATTATATACTAATAAAATGTTTTTAAAATATATAATATTCATATTATATGCCTCCTGTATAGGCTGAGATTTGAAGGAACTTGAGTGAGGGGGGAAGAAAAACAAGAACTGTAGAAATGAAGGAATAGAAGAGTAAGTAAAGAATGTGTAATGAAACAGTAGGACAAGGAAAGAAAAAGATGAACTTTGTCTGTGGTAAGAGGGAGGAAGTAGAAACAGGGAGAAGAAAACCAGGACAATGAGATCCACAAGGCCAGACTATTGGCCTTTGATTTTTTGAGTGCCAGGCAAACAGGATGCTCTCAAAAAATATCTGTTGAATAAACAGAACAGGGGAACCAGAAGCTAAGAACGTCAATGAACTGAGAACATGGTAGAAACACTAAATGAAAAATTGCTTAACGCTGAATTTATAGACTGCAGAAGCTCTGGGCTTAGGGAAAAACAGAAGAATCCTTAAGTAGCACTATGAATAAAGTAATTTGCTTAATATATTTACTTTTTGAAGGGCTAGATGTTCTGAAGAAAGCATGCTTTCCAGAGGTAAGCAATTCCGAAGGTCATCTGCTATGTTTTTCAACATAATGTCATTATTATCTTGAGTGAATTCATCAAAATCTCCTGGAAAAAAAAAAACAGCTTACACTTGTAGTCATACCTAGAGTAAGTTATTACAATGGATATATTTTCTATCACAGAGCATCAATTTATAACAATACATAAGTAATAATGACAGGTTCCAATTCTAACACAACTTAAAATGGTAGATTTTTCCTTTCCCCAAACTGCCAATCAAATAAAAGCAAAGACATTTAAAAATACGTATTTTAAATTACTTTATTTTTATTCAAGTACAGCACTTCAGTTAGTTTTTAGGTCTCGAACTCAATAATCAGTAGTCAAAAATTTTGTCTCTAATCACACAGATCTTCGAAGTATAGGAGGCATCGCTCAGGAATTACTATGAAGATAACTCTAATTAGAATATCCCTACCCAGGAAAATGTGTTCAAGACTTCAGATAAAAGACACTAATATCCTAACATCTGGCACCAACTATACAATAAAGTTTATAACAAACAATCATATTGCTGTGCTGTAGAATAGCAAAAGATAAAATGATAATTAAAATAGTATGTTTCTGGAGACTGTGGCCTACATTTGGATGGTCTGGTAAAAAAATAAGAGAAGAGAGAAAGATGGAGCAATAAAGGCAGTTAATTATTTTGGTGGTACTGGGATTTGAACTCAGGGCCCAACACACTAGCTCTTCCATTTGAACTATTTGGCTAGGCTAGCTTTGAAGCACGATCCTCCTGCTCTCTGCCTCTGAGTAGCTAGAATTATAGGCGTGAGCCACCGGCACCCAGCTGTGGGTTAATTTTTTAAATTGGCTCTAAAGCAAGTATTATTTTAAAGAAGTTTAGAAGCAATTTAAAATAGAACAGGACTAGAAAAAAGATTTAAAAAAAGAAAATAAAAAAAGAGGAAAAAAAAATCCAAATAAAGTAGACTAGGATTTACTGGAAATTACATACTCTTGAGGAAGCTACTATTCTCAGATGCCATAAGGCTGGAGAGGACTACTAATGAACTGGAGTAGGAAACAACACATTTACCTTCCTCTGAAATGAGTCTCTCTTTCTTTTTCATAGATAAGATTTTATTGATACTGGTGAGATCTGACATTATTGTTAATGCTGGTTAAGACTTCAATTTTTAACAAAAAGTGAGATTAAAAAGGACATGAGAAGAAAACCAGAACTGTGTGATCTGATATGACTTTCTTACGTGAAATTCTTGCTAGAGTCAAAGGACTCAAAGAGGATTGTGTCTTTCCCACCGCTAAAAATAGTTGTAAGGGTGGTTCTCATTTTCTGGAGACAGATGACCTATTTTCAGTCTATTAAAAGTATACTCCTTTACTAAGACTTTCACTATAAAAAATAGCTGTAGGGTCAGACATGGTAGAACACACATGTAATCTCAGCACTTGGGAGTTTTCACTATAACATTCTATGTCCCCACATAGGAAAAAATCTTTCTCTGCATCAATTCTCCTTGAGCAACAGTAGTTAATGCCAAGATACTTTGTTTGGCTCTCTGAACTGTTATGGGAAGGCCTTTTAGCTCTTTTCTCTTTCTTTACATATCTAGTATAACAGTCTACTACATTAAATAATTTCTAGAAGGAGGCAGAATATAAATTATAGAGAAACAAAAATTCTATTAACATGCATTCTAAAACTGTTTCAGGTGGGACTTAAATACCATCTTTGATGCATTTCTTTTTCTACACTGGCTTTTTTTCATTGTATTCCTAAAATCTAATTAAATTTTCCCAAGGTGCTAACTAATATGTAACACCTGTTTTCTTTTCCTCCAGAAATAGAACACTGTATTAGAGCTTCTATGACTCAAATTACATTCTAATAACACTACTCACTCCAGCGACTCTTATAAACGGTGTAACGAAAGAAGCCCCCAAGAACTCATTATATTAAACTAAAATATTTCACGGTCCAACTTTTTTTGGTTTAGTTCTATAACATAACCATGTTAATAAAACAAAGTCTCCATATGGCTTTGCCTTATAAAATCAAAGAGCCTTAGAGTGGAAAGGGACTTACACTATGACCTTTTGCCAAATGACAAGATAACACGTATCAGTGTTTGGTAGCTGATCCCTAATTGTTCAGTCTTTATCACGTTCAAGGACAGCATTTGTTCTCTGCACCAAGCCAGAATCTGCTTCTCTATGACATTAGCTCAGGTCACCTTCAGACTTGGAGGTATCATTATCTTTAATGAATGGGCATCTGAAGCATACTAGACTGTGTGCAGTGCTTTCCAAACACTGTTGCTAACTTCTGAGGACCCTATAGGTGGTACTATTAACTCAATTTTACAACATGAAAAGAATCTTGAGATCAGAAGGTTAAATCCCTTGCCTTGGCTCACACGGGCCAGACACTAGAAGAGGTAGACATGAAAACAGTTCCAAGGCTGAAATCTGAATTACTATGTCATACAGAATCTCAAGTGCAAAGGTGGCTAATACAGGTCTATCACTGCCTTAGTCCTCTCTTCTGCCTAACTCGGCAAGGTTCATCATACTACGGGGGAGCCATATCCTCTGCCATCTGCTATCATCTAGACTTGCTCGACAATCCATTTAAATGTGGTCCCAGAACTGAACAGTTTGGCAATCTAGTTCTCCAGCGTATGACCACTTTAAGTTTATTTGTTCTATCATTTTGTAGATTTTTAGGGCACTAATTGCTACTGGGTTATTGATAGAGTTGTCAGGGGTGGTGGTGGCAGTGAATGCCAAAGTATCTTAAAGGATCATATGTAAAGAAAGCTGGAGAGGTGTGAGTAGCTGCAAATTCTGAACCACATATGTGTGTGTGTGTGTGTGTGTGTCCCCACTGACATCAAATCCAGGGCTTTGTGTGTGCTGGCCACACTCTACCACTGAGCTACAGTTTTATCCCAATACCAGGGGTATCCGGTGAAAACGAGAATTAGTCTTCTTGACCTTAACATTGACAGGACACTCTGATTTAACCACACTCAAGGGTAAAAAGACTTCTTTAGTTACTGCGGGATTCTTCACACTGATTGTTGTTAAAAGGGTACAAACATGCATTTTATGTGGTCAAAAAAGGCCTAAAGTTATTAGCTTGGGTTATCTACATAAACCTCTCTCTCTGAAAAGGTCTTGCTAAGTGGCCCTAGCCTCAAACTTGGTGATACTCCTGTTTCAGTCTCCTAGGATGGTGGCCCCAAACAACCCAGTGTCTCTGGTTTCCTTCTGGGTCATGCTCAAAAGCAGTTATAAGATTCGAGAAGACTCAAGTCTTTTAAGTTCTTGAAAGTCCCACAATTGGGCCTTCGCTGTCACCGCAGGACAGGGATATTCATCTGCCTATAAATGGGAGTTGGATGTCTCCATCCCAGTCCTGCCGGAATACTCTGCTGCCAACCAGCCCTGCTGTTGCAAAAGTGGGATCCCTTATGCACCCAGTCCTGGGTGGGAACAGCAGAGCTCAAACCGTTTATTCGTGAGTTTTTTGAGCCCAAGACCTTTTCTTTTTTCATCAAATGCCTGGTCCAAGACGCTTCAGTGTGGTCCCCATGGGAAAAAGCACATGAGGCGCTTCGATGCCTAGAGATTCAAACTCATGGGCAGTTTGGGTGTTTGACCCGACCCCAACTCCTGCTCTACACACAGCATGGAACAGAGCTCTCCAGGTGGCTCTCCAGAGTCTGGGTCTCTGAAGCTCGCCCTAGCCTTCAACACAAATCTGCCCTGATGCTCTGACATCTAACTCCTGCATCTTACAACCAACCTCAACGCGAACCTTTTCTCTCCCTTAGGCTCAGTGCTTTTTCATAACTTGGTACTTAAGCAAGAAGTATGAAACCTGTAAAGTGTAAAAAAAATAACACTACCTCCTTAACAAAAACGACAGCAAACACCCACACAAAAAAACCAGACTTTATACTAAAGTAAAATATAACGAGGAAAGTACCACTAGCAAACAAACCTCTAATCTTACATTTGCCACAACATGATCAGGGGAGAGCGCGAACGCAGTCCCCCACTACCACAAATTATGCAGTCGAGTTTCCCACATTTGGGGAAATCGCAGGGGTCAGCACATCCGGAGTGCAATGGATAAGCCTCGCCCTGGGAAAACCACCTTCGTGATCATGGTATCTCCCCTGCCAGGTAAGTATGAGTTGTCCCCTCCGCGCCACCCACGCCCTCGCTGGCACCCCACTCCTCACTCACGGTCACTTGCCTCGCGTGCCCTCCACACCGTTAGACCCCCAGTGCTCCCTCGGTTCCTATCCCCGTTCAGGAAAACCAATCCCGCACCATTTGGCTATTCCTCACGCGGGGAATGGAGGAACAGGATGAGCGGGACCGGCAGTCTCTGCGCGCTTGCTCATCTGCATACACCACGCCCCTGTGGTGACGTCATGGAGCTGCTTCTCTGCAGCCTGGTGAGCCACTTTAGGACTCGTGGAGGTCTACTCTGACTTCCCCTTAAAATGAGCATTATTCTTATACCGTGAAGTTTCAGGTTGGATTAAGCAGTGTGGTTTTCCCGTTATCTTCTGACGTTCCCCCATTGGGACATCGCAGTCCTAAGGCCCAGGCAGTTCGGTGGTCCCAGGTCTCCTTGCGCTCCCGGCGATTCCTAGAGCTCTGCGCTTCGGAAGGCGTGAGGCAGGGACTCAGATGTGAGTGACAAACACAGCACCGATCAACCAGAATTGATCAATTACCTAAGGCTGAGTGCGATCACGGGAAGAGTGGCCCTGCCTTGTGTGCCTTTTTATGGTTTATAACTGTTACTTTTCCATAGTTTTCAAGAATAAAGGAGAGACCTGAATAACAAACATAAACAGGTAAACCTAATTGTGTCTCAAACGAACATAACCTCACTGAAGTAGAAAAATGTAACTGTCCCGACGGCTTTCGCGCACAATTCATGGACTATAAGCATCTTCAAAGTTTGAAAACACAAAAACCCTACAGATAGTATATTGCCTCATAGGTTTGTTTTCGCTGTATAGTTGTAACGATTCTGTATTAATACTGTGTGAATATGTCATCAAAGTGTCACAGCACTGAATTTATCATAAAACCAAACGTGATTGTTTTAATTTGCATTTACTTTATTACAGTGAGGCCAAACATCTTTTAGCATGTATAATAGTTATTTCAGAATGTGTTTTCAGAATTGCTTGGAAAAAGATGAAAGGAAAGTGCTAATCAGCTGCCTAAAGACAGTTTTTCTCAAACTATATGTGAGTAGGAAAGGATGGGAGAAAGAAGAGCTCTTCTTAAGGGTAAAATTAATTCTTTAAAATTTTCCACTTACACATAATTAAATACATGGGCAAAGAAATCACCAAGGCTGAAGGCCTATGGACGGAGCCCTGCTTTTTATATCTAATCACGTATAAAGTAGGGTCACTCTTTTATTGAACTCTATTTCTTCTCCCCAATGAAATACCTCACACACCTATTTTCAACTGATTTTGCTTAAGCCTCACTTTCATTTCACTCCCCCTCCTTACAATTTTTGGAAGATTTCCTACTTCTCAACGAGTCAAACTTCACTGTAAATGTTGAAGACTATCACGAGGGTCTAACATCCTTTTTCTGTCTTAATTTTGAGTTGACCAATCATAACTATGTATGTTCTGGAGTACAATGTGACATTGTAGAAGGATCAAATTAGGTGAACATATACTTTCCCTCACATACTTATTTCTTTGTAGTAAGAACACTGAAAATCTACTTTTAGTAGTTTTGAAATATAATTAACTATAATAACCATGTTGTACAATATGCCAGAGAACTTAGTCTTCCTGTGAAACTTTGTATCCACTTCCCAACCACTCTGTTTCCTTTCACTCCCTACACTCTGCTTCTAGTAACTACCTTTCTACTTTATACTTCTCTGAAGTTGACTTTTTTTTAGATTCTACATGTAAGTGATCATGCAGTATTTGATTTTCCATGCCTGGCTTATTTCATTTAGCATAACACTCTCTAGATTTATCCACATTGTTGCAAATGATAGAATTTCCTCTTTTTCTTTTTTGCCAATACCAAGGGGTTAGCATAGGGCCTGGCACTTGGCTAGGCAGATGCTCTATCACTC